GTTGCAGCCTTCCTTTCATGGTTCATTTTTTCATTCTAAAACTAGCCAACGAAATTTCTTGAAAACTTCCTCTATTTTTCTTCTCTGTCAACAAAATATTCTGAATGGATTTCAAGCTAATACGCTAGCTTGATCCTCTTCAAAAAAATAAAATAGCAGTAGCAATTTTGAAACACTGCAATGGAGTACGTGATTTTGCTTTTCGGCCGTCGATACTATGAAACTCCACGTAATGTTGCGTTCAAATTGTTCTTACTTCCTACCTTAAGGACCAAATATCCAAATATTACGTGAGACATTTTGGCTACTTAATGACACAGCCCCCCCTCCTCCTCCTCTCACCTATAAGACAACCTCCCCTCCCCCCCTCTTTTTAAGTAGGTGACCATCTGGAGCTAGGAATTTTTAATTTCTTTTTTACCATGATGTTACATATCGACAGTGTAAGTCAGGAATCATATAACTTGGTTTGCGACGTCGCAGACTTCCTTTCATACTTTATTTTTTAAACGGAAAACTACTCAACGGCAATTCTTTATAACTGCCGTGGTTTTTCTTCTCTGTGCGAAGAAAAGTGTGCAAAAAATCAAGGAATGATGTCAATTTGTTCACCTTTAAAAACATAACGTTAAGGCAGAGATTTTCAGACACCGCAAATGAGATATATGATTGCAAACTTACGCCGTCGATATAATGTCTGTACAATTTTCTTTCCCTCTTGATCTGAGAAAAGTAAAGACAATCAATGAGATCAATGATAGAGTGTACTTGTCATTGGTGATTCTTAAAAGTTGGCATCACTGTTTTTCCGCCATAAAGGTAAATCCATTGAAAATATAGACTATAATTGAGGAAATTCCCCTCACCAAGAATCGATTGTTTAACATACATTTAAATTGAGGAAAAACAGTGTTGACAACTTTAAAAAATAGCCACTGCAGAAAAATCCATGCCTCCTCCCAATTTCCTTGAATCACCATCTGGAGCTTAGAATTTTGAGTTACTTTTTCAAATATATGTTGGTGTCTACACTAACTACTGCGCTAAGGAAAAACGTCGTACGAACATTCGAGAGTTGCCAAGTTTCCTCCCATAAAATTTTTATTTTTGAGGAAATATACGAGCAGGTATTTTTCCTTGATATTTTCAGGGACTTTAGGAGGGATTGAAAACAAAGTTGGCTGAAAAATTGGAAGAAAAGTATTTATGGATTCACCATGCAGGAAATCCGTGTTTTATGAAAGGGAATTCGGCAACGTCTGAAGGTTCATACGGCGGTTTACCTTAGCACGGCAGTACACTATTTTTCCTCGAGTTGGTACAGTACCTATGATGGAGCCTGTAGGATTGGAAAAATCCATGTGACATTTTTCTCTTTTTTTTCTGGCCTTATGGCTTCATTCCGTTGGGAACCTACAACCCACAACCATCTGCAGAACAGATTTATTGTTAACAGTTATCGCGGTGAGAGGTACAGGTACACCCATGCTCCAGACTTTTCAAATTTTCAAGGATTAAGGCCATGTAGAATCTGTTCCTGCAGATACTCGTCAGTTCCGCCTCTCCCGGGATACGAACCCGGGTCCTATTATTGACATAGAGTCAGACGCGCTGACCACTAGGCCAGCCTGGCCGCTATGAATGCTACCTTGCCATGTCCTCCTGGTGATAGTCAGAATCCATAATTTTTAGGGGTTTTTTATATGATGTTTTGGGGCATGGACAACAGACTGTTCCCACCTTTCGACCCAAAAAACTTATGAACGCAATATTAACGTTTCCACAATATGGGACTGCGCGCGGTCAAATTATGGAAACTATGTCGACCTGACACGACCAGACATAGCCCCATGGACATATCTTAACCATGCAATATATTGCAGGTCGATGTTTTATTGGGTTGCTTTAAACTTTTAATAATCGGCCCGCAGGTCGAGAGGAGCAGAATAATTACTTCCTATACCATTTTCCATGGGTGACTATGACCATAATGAGGCTCGGAATTTCGAATCTTTTGATACTCGTACGATATTTTGGTGCGCAATTTTTTCCCTGCGATCCTAGAAATAGATGACACCGCTATCAAAGATGGAATATATGCAACAAAAATAAAGGNGGGGGGGGGGGGGGGGGGGTCTCTGTGTTGCAGGGATTTAGAGTGGCGTTCTCGTGCTTCATAATGACATTTTTCTGTGAAATACAGGGCAGCAGGGTCCGGTAAAGCCTTAACCGTGAAAGTTTCTCCAAAGTTATGGCCTCTAGACGCGATATCAAGTAACTTTTCAATAATTAATTTTGATTATAGTTATTTTTTTCAGTAAGTTGTAATTTATAGCCGCCGTGCGTTAAAAATCAATTTAAAGCTGACTAGATGGCTAGCTTTCTAGCTCACTAGATAGAGCAAGTTTATTTGTCGACAGTGACCGCTAGCCCATGTCTCGGGCTGGTTTTCACGACCTCTCCCAGCTTGGTGCACTGAGGATTGGTCCAATAAGACCGGAACGCGTCTGCTGTCGCCTTCCTGGATGGTCGTCAATTGTGTTGCACCAAACAGTGTATCTCTGTGAGGAAAAGTTGTGCTCATATGAGCGTTTTCCCTCGGTAATAAGAATTTCAGCTTAATGCTGATTTGTAATGCACTTTCTCTAAAAATTCCAACTTACTGACTTACGACTCGTGGCGTGCGTTTACCACAATCAGTTTGTGTTATTTTTTTCGTACCTTTCTTTTTGTTTATGTTTTTGAATTTTACACAAAATATTCGTTTTCTCGTGTAAATTTTTGCTTCCTATGTTACTTTGTTCCTAAATAACATTAAGCACACACTAAATTCAACCGGAACACTAGGATAATCCCTGTAATGTTTCATGAGGAATTATTAAGTTTTCTGAAATTTATATATTTCAGACCGCTGAGAGTTCTAAAAATAGTTTACATATAAAAAAATGAAGCATTTAAAACGACCTATGGGAATGGAAAGGGGGGGGAGGGTAGAGGAGTTGGAAGAGCTGGCGGTCGGCAACCCGTTAATTCAGAATCAATCAAGAAATTCAATATTCAATATGCATCGCTCGGAGTGTGAGACTTGTTTCGTAGGCTCAGATTGAAGGCACTAATTATTATGACGCTTTTACAAACATGAGACCAGCAAAGGCATCTATGGAAGCAGATTGTACTTGGAGACAAGTCAAATTTTGTGATTCTGCGGATGATTCACAAAAATGTGCGGTTCTATGTTTGAGGGTGATTTCACATTAATAATATTAATAGCTAATAAATGCATTGCCCTAAAAATAAAATTGCACCACCTCTATCTAAATTTCATTACTTAATTCTAAATGTAATAAACGTCATTTTTCCAGCTTTGGCGGAAACATGTTGATTTAGTACCAAGTTGTAATGCTTACCAAACAAGCCATTAAATCAGGTGTCCGAGGCTCCAACCCAAAATCCACAGCCCCGCAAAAATCCACAGTCACATGCCAAAACCCGCAGTCCGATGCCGAAGTCCATTCTCCTGATACACGATACACGTATCGGCGCGCTATCATAACGCCACCTCCTGGCCGTAGTATCACAAGCGCCATGAGATGTTCAAAATTATCCGCCGGCATTTTATTATTTTACAGAGAAATTGATCAACAAAGCTGTCCGGAAATTTCTTTGAATTTTCTTTGTGCTGCCGATAAAATTCCGTGAAAATTTTACAGAGATTCAACCAACAATTTCTCTGTAAAAAAATTAAATGCCGGAGGAAATTTTTAAACATCGCATGGCGCTTGCGACACTTTGGCTAGAGAGTGACGATAAATTTATCTCATATGAGATCAATTTAACTGGGACGTGCGAAAACCGCTGATTTCCATTTTTCCAGTCTCAAGTTTTTTTGAGTTCATATAATATTTTTAAAGAGTTGATACAACCATAAAAGTGAAGATTGGACTCGTTTTGGGATTGAGGAAACCCGAAGACGAATTTTAACGCCACATTCGTGGTTGCAACCAACGCCGAAAAGTATTATGAACTCAAAAAAACTTAAGACTGGAAAAATAGGCGTTAGCGGTTTTCGCTATCCTGATTCAATTGAGAGATTGTTTTAATTATTCCAATGTATGCATAATTTGAATCCGAGGATCATCCTATCCTATTATTATAATAGTTATGATATGAAATGCTACACGTATTAATATTATCAATGCCCCACTTGCCAAAACAGGGCAGTGGCGTGTAGAGTCCCTTTATACTGAGAGTCAAGACAATTCGGCTCATGGATGTCACAAACGGGAATAAAGATTACAGAAATTGAACGTTTTTCGTAATCTTTGATCGGCCCATTCTCAAGTGCCTTTCTCCGTTCCTCCTCTCATTCCGTTTGTTCCTTGCCGAACCCGTAATTCCCTGGTCCATTCCAGATTATAATCTTTGCAATTGGTGAAAATGTAATCTTTATTCCCGTTTGTGACACTGTGGAGGCCTAAAATACGGGAACCAATCAGAAATGGATTCAAATTGTCTTGACTCTCAGTATAAAGGGACTCTAGTGGCGTGGCGTGCTTTGCGATGTATCGATTGTTATGCCATTTAAACCTATGGAAAAGGATCGATAAACAGAGTGTTCGCAGCGAACACCTTAATAATCGATTCTTTACCACAGGTTTAAATGGCATAACAATCGATACATCGCAAGTCACGCCACGCCTTTGAAACAAGGGTCTCTAGAACCAAAATCAAGAGAATTATACACGTTCTTATCAAGCGGCAGGTCAATTTTTGACCCACGTTTGACGGACTAGGGCTAATAAAACGCTCGCTCCTAAGTAAGTTTGACAGAGATTTCATTATGTAGCTTCAAGCTAATGATAATGAATATAAAGATGCGCAGGTAGTATGGAATCGCGAGGCGTTGGGCGTTGGGCACCGCGGCCACTCCGCGTCGCGACGCCGCGCCGCGCCGCGCCGCGCCACGAGTGGGTGGCGGCTCCTTTCACGCCAAGTGTTATCAGTATCGGATAACCGCTTCATCGCGTCTGTCAAGATTCGCACGGGTGCATGGAATTCGGTGTTTTTCGGGCTGTGAGTCCCTACTACTAAAATATCATAATTTGAGTTTCAATTCTTTAGTATCGACGATAAAATTAAGCGTTTAGCTGAATGAAACTATGTTAAAATGAAAAAAACTGAAAGAAACTATGCGCACAGATTTTACGCGGCTTGCAGTTTCTTTTGATGTAATTTATTTGTACCTAGTTCCTTACGATAAAAGTACGTGCGATTAAGAAGTCCGATCATCCAGGAGTCATTAAACTTCAGGTATTTTTCGTAACTTAGTAATTTACGTGCATTTAGCTTAAGTAATATCCTAGCGATTTCTAGCTTTACGGGATTTTATGTAACCAATATCTTCTAAGGTGCTGAATTTGGATGTAAAATATAGATGCGATCATTTAACAAATCACAATAAAAAATAAATTATAATATAAAAAAATTAGCGTCTCTAAAATCAAATTGAAGAAAAAAGAACAATAAGAAGGAATGATTTACCCGGTTTTTTTTCAGCACGGAGGCAGAAAGAATATTAAAGGAAAAGAGGAAGGATCCCGCAAAAAAAGGAAATCAAATCCGAGTTTCTTTGAAAGCAATGTAGAGCCACAAACGGTGCAAGGAACTAATATTTTTAATGTGCCTTAAACTTCACTTTTCTCCAGTTATTTAACTGATGTTTTTTCTGATGCAGGAGAAAATATTAAAATTGAAACACTCATGAAAACAAAAAATGAACCGTGGTTGCTCTAAAAAAACAATCTTTACATGTCATCGGGTATTATTAAGGCTGAAACTTCTATGAATTTGGAGCTAATTCGAAAATGACCCAGATACAGCGACAGCGCGGCAATCAGAACACAAAAAGTTAAAATAAATTGATGTTCATCACTGATATGATCAAATCTTCTCCTCCAAAATTTGCAACCAATTATTCTAAATTTCTGTGGATGATGAATTTTGTTAATCATACTGTTTATAAGTTTAAATTATACCTACTTGTCTGCTAGCGTTGCGTCGCGTCGTGCCACGCCGTGATGTAAAGTGGATTTTTTCGCGACACTCATGCCGGTTACCGGAGCACTCAACCTAGATTATTTTTATTATTTCGACATCACCTCATTTCTCACCTCTTTATGTCTCACAATCAGTCTTGGAGAAATGTCAAAAGCCGAAGATATTAATTGAATGAATTGAATTTAATGAAATATTTTGCAAGAAAAATATGCTTACAGTAAATTAAAGTTCAAGAGAGGATGAACTTCAGGAGTTCATAATGCCCTATCCATGACTTTACAAATTTGATTCGGTTCAGCTCCTTTCTGTACTGCAATAGTGCGAAAAAAGTAAGAAATTTTCAAAAAGAGGCATAAAAAATCCTCAAAGAAAATACTACGAAAATATTGAACCCTTAATGACACCAAATCTGATTCTCCTCTTAATTTTCGCTCATTAAAGCTTTCGGATTTAAGCATCAGGCTGATCTCTACATTCGAGGGATAATTTTTACGGATTGATTTTCACCATTGTTTCCTTCGAGAGTCATGTATGCATTTCTCAGGCATATAGTTTAATGGCGTATCATTACTACAATACCCAAATAACATGCAAATCATTTCATATCGATCGTGAAACATCACCACTATCGAACGAGACGTACACATGTTTCTATTATGCTTTATTTTCAAATAAATACATTTCATAGTACTTCGTTAATATTGCATGAAGAATACTGTGTAATAATTTGGCCCGGAATTTGATTCTATTTTCCTGTGGTAAATTTTTAATCCCGGCAATCAAGACGGGTGTACTTTCAATTTAACGGCCGATATTTGATCATATCATACGCCATTACGAGATCGCATTTAAGCTGAATTTCCGTATAAATTGCGATGTTCTTGTGATGATCGAAATCCATGTTACCTAATGCCCCCGGGAGAGAAAAGTGAAAGCTGATAATAGGTGGGCCATCAGGGGAGAGTTTGTTGAAGATATCTAAAATCGTTCGTTATTTTTAGCAGCGCGAATGAGGAGTACGTAAATATTTTTTTTAAGTGAATTGATCTAAGTTTTTTAAGTAAAAATTAATACCTTTCTTAAGTACACTGAGAAAAATAGTTCTGTTCACAGGGCTCCTGCACTTTCTTTGTTACAGCTTCAGAAGTTTCCGTTATGAGGACGAGCACTCTGTGCTCACGACCGAAGTTCGTTTCTCACGACAGGAGAGTTTTGTAAGTTCAACGAAGAAAGTGCAGGCGCCCTGGCGCCCTGTGACCAGAAGGTTCTGTCATGAGCATCGACTATTTGTTGCTTGCCCGAAATGTAAAAGTTGAAAGAAAAGTTTCCATTAGTTTTTCTTTAAAATTTCATCGAAAATCACTTCTTAAAATGTATAATGTTATAGACATCAAAATTTATACATTATGGTCAAAAATGATGAATGCAACCTGTCTTAATGGCTCGTTCATAGGAAATTTTTCAAGTTAATAACATTATTTTCCCTCTATTTAAAGCCATTAAAAATATCGCTTTTTGATGAGGCAGTCTGCCTCATAAAGAATCGATTGTTTTACATACATTTAAATGGAGGAAAAACAATGTTGCCAAGTTCCAAGAATCGCCACTATATTCCATTATGCATTGCAACAGTTTCTAGAAAAAGTTTGAGACTTTCCAGAGTTGCACTTTTTCAAGATAAGTACCTGTTTTTTTTCCTTGCAAAGGGCCCTCTCAGTATACCATGTAATTTTTGTTGTCCAGGAAATGTTTTTAAACCACTCGAGCGATGCTTCTGTTGTTCTTCACGGCACGAGTCAGCAGGAAAGCATGTAGTCAGGAAAAGGTTGTTTTGAGCCCGAAGTAACCCGGGTCTTTTCGATCAGTCAGTACATCCAGAGAAAGCTCGAAATCATCATGCTCGGAGAAATCAATTCGCCTTTTATTGAGACGTACTGGCAGCACATTCTGCTGGGTGCTGTGTGCTACTGGGCTACAAGGTACCTGATGAGTTTCTCGCTCATCAATACGCTTGCCAAGGAGGCCAAGAAAATCCGCCAAGTTCGACAGCAAAATTCTGGTAAGTGATCGGCTGATTGATTGATTGGTTTATTTATATCTATATATTTTAATAATCGAGGTTATTATTATTATTCTCTTTTATTCTATTTTTCTCCCTATTCTCCAGTGTAACATATTCGGTATCATGACCGTCATCCCTTCGTTTATCAAATAGGAAATAAGAAAAATAGAATCAGAATGAAAAATACATTTTATGACTGGACAAAGTATGACACAGCCATGAGTAATTCTGATACCGTCTGTATGTTACATCAAGCTTTTGTGATCGCATAACAAATAATTCTACCTCCCGTAGTGTTCTGGCACGAATAATCGAACGTATTTAAATGGAAAAGAGTTATCTCCATGGGTCCTACCGTGCATGTATTCTTACAGGTCGCAGGGCTCAGGTCACAATGGATATAGTTCCTTTTGAATTGTGTAAGCCCAGTGAAGTCCTACGCATGGGCCAAAAATGGTTTGTACGGGTGTGCACCACGCTGAATAATTATTCAGGAAGATTACCAAATCGCTGATCATTTCTTTAATTTTGATCCGAAATAAGAAACTAAATTAGGATCTCAAAGATGCCGGACCAGATGGCCTCGAGAGTGAGATAGCGTGCACTCGTGCTCGAGGAGTCAATGATACTTAACTGATAATTTTGTAAAGTATACATGAAAACGAGAGATGACCGCATGCATTGAAAAACAATAACTCATAATTGAAAACTGAAAGTTAATAATTCATTAGAGACCAAAGCTCCAAAAAAGTTTGCAAGCAAATAATTCCGACAGTATGTTGGAGTTTTGCAGCCAACGTGCGTTAAAAATTCAGCATGAAGCTGAAATCTCAATACAGAGGGAAAAAGCTCATATATGAGCACAATTTTCCCTCAAAAAGATATGCAGTTTGGTGCTGCCTCTGTATTGAGAATTTCAGCTTTATCCTGAATTCTCAACGCACGTTGCGGCTAAAGAAAACTCCAACATACTGTCTTACGACCCATGCGTCCACCGCAATCAGTTTGTGTAAATAATTCTGATTCACCGAGTTAAAAAGAAATTAAGAGCATGTTTGCAATTTGGGGGAAAATAAGTTCAAAGTTGGGAGGATATATTTTGAGGGTGAAAATAGGTGTTGATTTTTATTGCTTAAATTTCTTCTTAAAACTTCAAACCTATTTTTTCGGTTCGATCTCTATGTGACTTGATTAGGGACATTTTTACAACTTGGTTTAGTCAAATTCCTCTAAAAGCTCATCGAAGACCAAAGTTCGAAACCGCGTATCTCCATTGCGGCGTTTCGAACTTCCCGCTTCTGCATATTTTATCTTTCCGAAGAGGAAACAAGCCACCTTTACAGCTTAAAATTTAAACAAAATATTCTGCTAACTAACAATAAGAGGGAAATCAAGGACATTTTTAAGAAATTACGTCGAATGGTTTAACTGGAGATGAAAGAAAAAGAAAGTATGTCTGTACGTCTGTAACTTCGTAAACGGAGGTACGTGGTTTCACACTCCGTCCATCGACATGAGGAGTGTTACTTTGGAAAATTAGAAAACAAAACAAGTTTAAGTTGAGATCATTATCATCCCATTACAAAAGCAATATTGAGTTACTAACCTGCTCACTGCTTCGTATAGCCCACCGTACCCTGGTAAAAATTGGCGATAGGAGCTGCGTTTCAAAATACCATAGGAGTTCTTATAGCCGACGAAAGAAGGCTATTGAAAATCATATAGCTGGCTGTAGAAAGCGGAGCAAATCAAATAGCCGGGCTATACGAAGCTATAAAAAAAAATACAGTCGGGCTGTAGTTTCTATCGCCGGGCTTTCAACTTTATCGCCATTGGCTATAAAAGACTATAAGAAATTGTGTAGAAATTCGTGTGCTTTGGAAATCTCTAAGTTTTTTACGGAACTACCTTAATGTTTACAAAACACACATTATATTTTCCTTTAAAACACATGTTTTTTCATCAATTAGAATGAGAATAATCCATACAGGATGTGCAAACATTTCAAAATCATTAGTTGAAAAACGCAGACTCCGCGAGATGAAATATTAGAGCCTAACGCAAAGCGGAGCGGCGACGCACTGGCGCCTACAAACCTAACAGGGATACTTCACGCATTGCGCAATGCATGAAGTATCACCGTTAGGTTTGTAGGCGCCAATGCGCGTTTTGCGCTCTCTGCCCGCCCGCCACGCCGCAGCGTGCCACGGCGTATGAAGCAACTATTTCACACCAGAGGTATTGCACAGTATGATAAGAAATTGAAGGCGCTCCCACATATTAATAATGACAGGCATCCTTCAAAAGTACGGAGCTTTCCTCGCAAAATATATCAAGATACTACGGCACAAAAAGAGAGCGGCTGTCCAAAAACTCACTAAGTCCTAGTATCCGTATTTAGTAACGTTTAGCATAAAATTTATCGTCTGGCTAATGCTTAATCGCCATCGGCTATAAAAGGCTATAAGAAATTGTACAGCCGACTACAGAAGCTATTGGAAATCTTACAGCCGGCTTTAAGTCTATGGTATTTTGGAACACAGATTCTACTGCCAATTTTTACCAGGGTATTCATAGGTCGCTACGCATAAATAGGGGCTTGGCGGACAAAGGCGCATCAATGAAGTTTTTGAAAATAATTGAGATATTAATGATATCAAGTAAACCTAGTCTTAATGCACATTCTGTAAAAAAATGCCAATTGTAAAGTATCAAAAAGTAAGTTTAAACTTTCCCTCCGCCACAAAGATCCGTATTTCGAATCTTCAAATAGGTATTTCCCAAAATACCAAAAACTGCACTTGTGCGCCTTGTCCTCAAAATAATCCTTCTGAGGAAAATAGTTTCAAAGGATGTTGTACGATCTTTTGCATTACTTGAGTAAATGCGTACTTTTCTCAACACTTTTTCGTACATAGGACTTTTTTACGCGATGACACACATGTTTTCCTGAAGTTTAAATCATGTGGAAAGGAAGGGGTGTAATGGCCAGCGTGTAGATGTAATGATCAGTGTCGGCCATCAGGCAGTTTACAAAGGCGTTCTGCAATTCGTGATTTGTATAAATGTATTTTGGTTTGCTGTCATTGTAAGCTGAACGTTCTTCACTCATTCACAACAGCGCCTCACTTTACGGTTCCACGATCCATTACGGCCTAGTTGTTATGAAATTATCATCACGTCGAAAACGCTTACATATTCATGTTTGAATCGGTGATTTTATCATGATTTTATTTCTCAATGTATGGGTAAAGCCGTGCAGGGGAAAAATGCCGCACACTTTGAAGGTTGTCAAATTGCTGACGAAGTTCTCATTTCAAAACGAGTTTTTCAAGATTCTTCCTCTTGAATTACAATCAAATTTGATAAATTCTTGATAAAATTCTGGGATCAATTAGAGAGAAAAAAATCAACATGAACTATCAAGAAAACTTGGTTTTTTTTCTCAGCAGAAATTTTGCAACGTCCTAAAGTTCATACGACGTTTTCAATTATCAAAGAGCACTCCAATATTATTGTGCTACGGAAGAACGCCGTATGAGCCTTCAGCCGTTGCCGAATCTCCTTCGACAAATCACGAATTTTTGTCAAAATTTGTTAACATTTTTCTTCTGATTTTTCAATGAATTTTGTTCGTAATTGCTTTAAAGTGTTTGCAAATTTCAAGGAATCATATTAATTTTGTTCTTCAAAGAGAACAACATTTCTTTGAGGCGATTTGGCAACATTTAAATGCTCACACGGCGTTTTTCCTTACCACGGCAGAAAAAAACAGCAACAGCAATTTACAGCAAGCGAGCGGACGAGTCATATCGCAGCTTTTTTCTGTGTGTAATCATGATGACAATGCGACATGACAAAGGACCCTCCCGCTCCCGTCCCTTACCTTGCCCCTTGCCTTTCTCAACCCCAACCCTCTCCAAGCACGGAGTCGAACTGACCTGATGGACTTGGGTACGCTAATAATGCGATGAATCGATCAGTTTATGCCATAGCAACGATGCAGTGTAAACACAGGCTGTTCAGGAATTCAACAGTAAGAACTTTGTTGTTTTCCTGTCAGGGCTAAGCACTCCCGTTTGCGAGTTTTGGATCCTTGACGTCAAATGCCATGAATTTGTTTGCTATTCACTCCGCAAGGGTGCTCGACGAGGGAGCTGCCTAACGATTTGGCACCTACATGCTGGTTATTGTAATTGATAGACATATAATAGACAAAGAGAAAGAAAAGACAATTTTAATTTTTCCTATTGGTTGAGATGAGTGTTTGTTATGGATTAAGAAGGATAATGATGGACAAACTATAGGATCTCTCGTGGGTTGCTGTTAGTCAATTTAGTCTATTGCTTACCTCATTTGTCCATTACAAAAATCCGCTTCCACAAATTGGATCCCTTCATTGTCTCCTAGTCTTTTTTGTCAGTTAATTTCAATAATCAGCCCCCTGTACTGCGGCTTGCGTAAAGAGACTGACAAGAAAATCATATCATGAATTTGATGTTAACAATTTATTTCACACAAACTGATTGTATGAATTTATTTCAATTTCTTTTGATACAATAATTCTATCCGATTGGTGGGACAAAGCACTGCTAAATATGTTTTCTCTTCAAAATTTTATGATGCAAACGAGTCGCACAACAGGAGGTCTGAAACTCAATTCTTAACCAGATGTAGATGTTTACAAATTAACATCGGTAAGGCAAAAATAGAAATAATGTCACTTCTGTGATCAAAATTTGGACTACATTTTCAATCAGGAACTACAGTGGAAATCGGATATTACATCGCTTATAACGACTTATCGGTCATAACGACGTGAGATTTGGTCGTACCCGTGATTGACTTCCCATTGACTCAATGTATTTGTGCATCGGTTATAACGACAATCGGATATAACGACCAAAACAGGCCGGTCCCTAGATGGTCGTTATATCCTATTTCCACCGTACAATTTCTGGCTGACCATGTTAAAACCCTTGTGTACATAGGGAAAGAAAGGGCGCATACATTATTTCCAAACTGAGCCAAAACTTGCAGTCTCTAATTGCAAAATGTAGTCCATTTGATCGGTGTCAACAATATCTGTTAATAATCTCGTCTAGGAGTTGATTTCCGAGCTTTCCCTTGTGCAAATCGTTTTAAACAGAAAATTTAAGGGGAAAATGATGTTTTCTTCTTGTTCAGACTCAGTTTAATCGCCTGAAAGTTGCGCTTTTAGAACTGCGTTTTTCTCGGTTTCTACGTTACTTTTTCGCGTTTTTTATGTGCGCATCGTTTTTTCTCATCATTTACCTTTGGCTAAATGTCAGTGACGTGGCGTGTTTTGCGGTGGATAGATTGATGTGTCATTTAAACCTATGGAAAAGGATCGATAAACAGGGTGTTCGCAACGAACACCTTGCTAATCGATTCCTCAGCACAGCTTCAAATCGGGAAATACCGATAATCGACCATTCACGTCTCGCCACTGCTAAATGTATTTGCAAGTCCGCATTCCTTCATGGTTTAGCGAGTTACTTTGGTCGTTTCAGGTGGAGACAGTGAGGATAGCGAGGACTTCGCGCTGAACCCGGAAGATGTGGAGCCGGTGGCAAGCAGCGCTCTCCCAGTGGACCTGCCCCACGTGCCCTACGAGTTCACCCGACTCCCGCCCGAGGAATCCCTGAAACGGGCCGAAGAATTCTACCAACTCATGAACTCGCGAAGAACCTTGCGCTTCTTCAGCGATGAGCCGGTCCCGGTCGAGATCCTCCACAAAATTATCCACACTGCAGGTGAAATTCTGCTTTGAATAATTCCATCCACTCGTCGAGAAATTAGTCATAAGGGGACGTCTATAAATTACGTCACTCATTTTTTTCAATTTGTTTACCCCCCCCCTTCCTCCCCGTATTCAACCGTCATCCACTGCTAGTCCCCCGTCCCTAAACATAACGTCATCCTTAGCACCCGCCACCCATTTCGGAATGGGGAGACGCAGAAAATTGTTAAAAATCAGTAGATATAGGCTGCAGCGTTATGAAAATTATACACATCTATTATTGATCATTAAATATATCGACGGTGCAAGTCGGCAATAACATAACTCGGTTTGCGACGTCGCAGACTTCCTGTCATACTTTATTTTTTAAATGGAAAACTACTCAACGGCAATTCTTTAAAACTGTCATGATTTTTCTTCTCAATGCGAAGAAAATTCTGCAAAAACACCAAGAAATAATGTCAATTTGCTCTCCTTTAAAAAAATGACGTAGAGGCGGAGATTTTCAGACACCGCAAACGAGTTATGTGATTGCCGACTTTCACCGTCGATATGTTGTCTTCGTCCCCCTTTTCTGGAGAAAATTGTTATAGAAATTAGATAAAAATGAGTAGATACAGTCAAATTTCAAGCAAGAGCTTTTTTGCCATCAAGTAAATTAATCATTCATGCCTCGCCACTGCTTGCCAACCCTCGAGAATCGTCGCTGCCTAAATCATGCCAAATTTCAACAACATCGTGTCCGCGAATTTTTTTCCTTCGTGGAAAATAAGCAACCTATACAAGAGAGATTTTTAGGAGTGAATCTTATGGTTAGCACGAAGTTTATGATTACCTGTGTAGTGTAATAATATTGTTTATTAATCAAGAAATATTTTGATATTATTTTCAGGAACATCGCCAAGTGGAGCACACACAGAACCGTGGACTTTCGTTCTGGTTTCTGAAAAAGACCTCAAACAAAAAATCCGCGATATCGTTGAGGAAGAGGAGAGGATAAACTACGAACGCAGAATGAGTAAGTCTTCTTACTGAGTTTTTCAGCCCTTTTTTTATACTTTCAAAAATTGTAGAGACTACAAAAAAGAGAAAATTTTAAGATGATTCTGATGTACCATAGGTGCGAATGAAGGAGATGAAAACGAACTTTTTTTTTAAAAAAAAAAAAAAAAAAATACTCTGCGAAACCTTTTTCTCCCCTAAATTTAAAAGTGGAAATTGCTTTGCTGTTATTAATGCAGATTATATTTTTTGAGCATCGGTTTTTTTTAGGTGATCTCCTATAGCCTTTGAATGTCACCGTTAGCATTTGCGGCTCATAAAATTGATTGACAATACCGATTTTTTAGCAGCTTCGTTTGTGCGATTGAAGCAATCACAGGGCCTTACGACCTTAACAAATCTACAGTTGGAAATCCTCCCATATGCACTTAATAACGATTAGACAGTTGATCAAGGAATTAATCATTCTTGGACTTCACGACATGTCTTCAAAAAGCTCCCAGCTCGACATCAAGCTGGAGTCCGCCGGGTATTCGCAAAGAAGATTTGATCAAGATACATTTTAAAACTGCTTTAAAAGTACGCTTCCAGTGCATATCGCAAATTCGAGGGCCAAAAGATTTGCAACATTTTCTGGGAGCGTACTTTCAAGGACGTTTCCTCGGCCAAATCTTCGGTACAAATACCTGACGGACTACAATTTGATGGTACGCTTGAGGAAATGTCCTAAAATTCCGGAGTTATCAACTGCTCTATTGACTATCGAATGGTTCGCCAAAGTTCTGGAGATCCACCCTGAGAGCATTTTTTATACAAGAAAAATAGAAGCACACGTTTGGCTCACGAACATCGAAACATTCAAAATACGACATGACTATCGAGTGCCAATGATGTACCACTCGCATTTTCTTAAAGGTAAACAATGGACAACAGATCTGAAGCCGTTACGTACATGCTGGGTGAAAGAATACCTGACAGTGGCCCCATATTTACTGCTCGTTTTCAAACAGCAGTACAGCTACACCGACGATGGCAAGAAGAAGCTTCACTACTATCATGACGTCAGCATCAATTTAGCCTCGGGCATACTGCTCTCTGCAATACACGTAAGTGACCTGATTGTTGTCTGAAAATATGCGAACACTAGTTTATACCACCAAGATCTTATGATGAATGATAGAAATACCAGCGGACCACATTTTTTAAATTTTTGGCTCATCCATAAAAACATCTAGCTCCGTGGGGAAACGAATTGTACATACGTTGCTTCTGAAATGAGCCTAAAATTGTAGTTCCTCATCGCAAAATGTAATCAAGATAACGTTCGCAAATTGTTTTATGTCAATTGTGAATTTTCAGAATCATGCGGGGTTAAGTTTACGCACATAAGTTGCCTTAATATAGAAAGAGGTGTTGATTTTCTAACATCATTTCTATTATCGAATTCATACGGACCTTTGACAATGTCACTATACGGATCACAGAAATAAACCTTTTCATTTCTGTATATTTGAACCTGACTTCAAATCAAATTATTATATTTGAACGTCAGCTATGATCAGAGTTGAGAAATGTCGAACAAAAGGCTGAAATGTTGATTGGTGCTACAAGTGCTTCTAATCATCAAAAATAAGTAATCAAGAATGGTACCTATTAGTGGTTCTTTTTCGGCAGCACTGCACGCTGTTAAATAAAAGTTTGGACACACTGTAATATATATTAAGAACCTCTTTCAAACAGATTCCGACTAGGCGAGGTGCTTCGAATTTCTATACAACGAGATTTCTCATGATGATCGATTCTTTATCATAAGTTTAGATGCTAGATCGATCGATTTATTGCAAAGCACGACACGCCATCGCTGTGTTTGGGAGATTTGAAACGGTTCAGCCCAGAGGCGAGGCATGGTAATCGAATATCGATTATTCCGTTTGAAGCTTTGATAAAGAATCGATTATTACGGTGTTCGTCGCGGACGCCCTGATAATCGATTTTCTTTCCATAGATTTGAGTGGCATATCAAATGACACGTCGCAAAGCACGCCACGCCACTGGTTCAACCGGCAAGATGAATTTGATTTAGATTTTTTTTTTTTTTTTTTCTGACACTGTAGTACGTTGCTACGTATCGACCCAGTTATTTTTTATGAAAAATGAGGCTTCCAACATTTGAAAGTTATGCTTAGGTCTCATGAAACGAGAAAGCCTTTAAAATCATATCATGAGGCTCAAATTTCAGCTTCGAGTTTTTACAACGACTGAACTGACAGGAGAAGAGAATGTTACATTTGAAAACTTCTTTTGCTGCTTTTTAATTATTTTATTTTTTTTATTTTTTTTTTGCTTAGTATGCAGGTTTGGTGACATTGACGAGCACTCCTTTGAACTGCGGCCCAGCTTTGAGGGCAATGTTCAACCGCCCCTCGTACGAGAAACTCACGCTACTCTTGCCAATTGGCTACCCAGCGAAAGATGCCACCGTCCCTGATCTTAAACGGAAACCTCTCGCGGACATATTAATTGAGTATCATTGATCCGAGCACTACATTCTAAGGGTATTTTTTTCAAGCCCTTAGCTCAAATAAAGTTAATGTAACTAATCTTAAGTTTAATTTGTTAATTGTTCAATTTAATTTAATTATAAATTTTACGTGAAAGTCTGTTTAAATTTTTTGTTTGTCGTGCATTGGGTTTTTCAAAGCACAGTAAATAGCTCAGAGTTTTCCTCTCGACTTAAGGTCATATTTTTTCTTATGAACATGGCAGGCTGTCGAGAGCGCCTGTCTTCAACAGTGCATTTTCACTGGTATGCTTAAATTACTTTCAGTTTATTAAATTATCAACTTAAATCCTAAATGATGATAGGTAAGATCGTACGCGTCTTGCCTAAATAATAAATGATCAGAATTTAAAAAAATAATCAACAATTTATTCGCAACGATATGCATTTCATTCTGAATTAAACTTACAAATGTAAGTATTTTCTGACAAAACATTCAATAATTAATCGTGAGAGTGTGGTGGTGAGGAAAATAAATCGGCAATGGTGTGGTCTTTTAAGTTTTATTTTTGGAAACATTTCAAGGCAAATTTTCATAACACTTAGTTTACGCATAAATACACACATTCATCCAGGACACCTCCTTGAGACCCTCTTTGGATGTAGTTTCCTTCATTTCGAGAAAAAAGACCAAAAAATAAAAAAAAAGATTTAAGCTTAAATCAAAAGGAAATCCGCTCAAATTAAGAGGCTTGGTTCTTGATTTAAGCTTAGATCTGATCGAACCAAGAGTATTTTTTCTTGTCGATGTTTTTAAGAGTCTGAATTCTAGATTCACTGTGTTTTTTTCCAGTGAAGGCTAAGGAAATCGAATAAATAAACTAGGACGTTTCAGGCCCATTACATGCCATTTGGTAATGGAACTAATTGGCTCTGTTCATAATTCGTTGACCATTTTTAAAAAAGTTCAAAAGAGAAAAAAATGCCGGAACGTCAGCAAGCGATAGTCTCCTGGGCCAGTAAATCCGCACAGGCTAATTACATAGAAAAGAGCCTGTGACTAGAACAGCATGATACGTCTCTCTCCGATCAGGAAAGATTGTTGGGCTGGCTGAATTGGGAATTCTTGATTGCCGAATACAATGTGAACAGGACATGAAGTGATTCAATGCGGGATCCGTACTGTGGTATATCGAACAAGCCTAGAAAACCAAGTAAAAAAGTCCATTCACACTAATTTAAACCAGAAGGAAATTGTGATTTGTCATCGCAAAAATCTCCGCAGATAGGAATGGAAATATTTCATGAAGTTCGTTCCTCATTTATAACCATGTCACAATCAGAGAAAATATCGACAGCCACAGTGCGAAACCACGTACCTCCGTTTGCGATACAGCAGACCTCCTGTCATTTCCCGTATGTCCTCCGTATTTTCTCATCGGAAAACTCGACGTAATTTTTTGAAAACTTCTATGATTTCTCCTCTCTATTTGCAGAATATTCCGTGTAATTTTTAAACCATTAAGTCGGCGTATTTCTCCTCGAAAAAATAAACGAGGAGCAAAAAGTCTGAAACACCGCAATGAAGATACGCGGTTTCGTACTTTTGCCTCCGATATACATATTTTTGAGACCTCGTACTGCTACCTTCTCTGTGCAGTAAAAGATAACTTTTACTCGAAGAGTCAACGTTCAGATTTGCTTAATGATGACTCATGACCATTGAGTTTAAAAATTCGTTTAGCAAGAATAACCTAACTCTCAAAAATTTCGCACTGCAACAAGCTCACCCTGACAATAATCAGTCATCAATGGGCGGATATCATTCGCTTTCATGCCGTGCTAAGGAAAAACGCCGTATGAACATCCGAGAGTTGCCAAATTTCCTCCGATAAAATGTTTATTTTTTAGGAAAGTTATCAATATTTGTTCTTGGAATTTTTACACTATTTGGATCAAATTACGAACGAAATTCTCCGAAGAAATTGAAAGAAAAATGATTATAAGTACTCCCAGAAATTCGTGATTAATCAAAGGAAATTTGGCAACGCCCAAAGGCTCAAACGGGGTTTTTCCTTAGCTAAGCAGCATTTTTCATCAATCATCATTAGGCGGAGAGCATAACGTTCATCTCTGAACGTTCTGAAGTACTCCCAAATTCTGAATAAAAATTGGAGATTTTTATCGAAGGTAAGTAAGTTCTATAACGATTATTTTTATTTCATATTCCACCGATTTTTACGGGCATTCGAACTCTTCCATGCAAATTCTACTTGCAGGTGAATGACCTACAGGTTGCTTGAGAAACCTTGAAAAGTTGGACTATATTTGGCGATTTGGAACTGCTATTTCTGCCTCAGTTTAGAAACAATGTACGCATAATTGGTCTTCCTATGTCCATAAGTGTTTTTACGGATGAGTCAGAAACTGCAGTTCCAAATTTCAAAATGAAGTCCAATTACACTGAAGCACCTACCGCATATGACATCGATCAGGGTCGGCAGGTCGCAATCCAATTCGTCCAACGGGAGTCCTACTTGATTCAATTTCTGTTCCAGCTCTGGTGGCCATTCTTGCATCAAACTGTCAATATCTGGCATCGGTCTGAAAGAAAGAGAAACGGGACGAATAATAAGATAATTTGAGCAGGTTTTGCACGTTTTTGGACGAACCAGAGGCGTCATTTGAGAGCTATACAAGAGGTTATTTCCTCCTCCACAGCATTGAATGTTCGCCTTTTACTGAGGGAATATTGGACAGATTTGATCAATTTGAAGGTTTTGTCAAAATCGATCTCCCCCTCTTTTTCTAACTCAAGCAAAGCTTTTAGGGTGCAACGAATTATGTTACCCACCTCCCCAACATTTCGCTGAAAGGACGACCTCTAGGAGGAGATGCCAAAATCTCGCGCCTAAGTTTCGTTTGACTCGAAATTGTATGACCCCTGAAAACACTGTCAATCTGACCTTTCATTGCGTTCCAGCCATCGACATCTTCGTATGTTCAGAGGATCAAGCCCGAAGAAGTAGGTCTTCCGAGACCAAAATCACAGTCGATTTGGCGATACTCGCATTTACCGAAGATAATTTGATTTTTGCTTTCCAACCTGCTCTCTTTTCTCCAACAAGGGTGTAAAGATTGTTCAAACGTAATGTTAAAAGAGCAGTGATGAAATTGTCTTGCCTTGTCTCATTCAGCGGAACTCATAATTTTAAAATTATTTCGCTCAATTCCGTTTTCACGGTAAAATGATCTTGCCCCTGCAGCATGTCTGACTGTGCTTTGACACTACAGGATATTTGACAAGGTAACGGGTCTGTTGCACGCAAGAGATGCAGCCCAGTGAAAAAACTAACGATAGGTAAAATCACATTAAATGTCACACTAGATTAGTCACATATCCACTCATTAGCGCAAAATTTTGCGTAATTTGTAACACGCATTTTCAAACTTGCGTTCCCGTGCAGTTTTCCTTATTTGTCACTGGCGACCACTGCCATGCTAATGAAGTTCGCCGTATGAGCCCCTCAGATGTTGGCAAATTTCCATCGAAAAATCATGAATTCATCAATATTCCTCTTCCGTTTCTCGGATAATTTCGCCTGTAATTTGAACTGAAAATTCTAAAAATTTCAAGGAAAAACATCCATAACCTTCTTCAAAAATAAATATTTTCTTCCAGTAAATTTAGGAACATTCGAACGTTCATAAGCCTGTGTCACACAATCAAAACTAGGCATCAAAATATCAAGGTGAGGCGTTGCGATTGGCTTATTCGATGACTTGGACCAATCACAGCACTTGACTTTGACATTTTGATGGAGTGTTTTGATAGTGTGACACGGGCTAAACTGTTTTTTTCCTCAGCACGGTAGACCAGGTTTTAGTCTTGGAAACCTGTGTTTCAGACAATAAACTACAAAAAACGTCATTGCTGCAGAACCATGACAGGTCTTGCTAATAAGGTGAAAAAAAGTCTAGGTACCTTAAGTGGGTTTTTCACAACATTGATAAATATTTATAACTTGCCTCAGGCAGTTTGTCTTGTTTCATTATTATTTGTAGCTCTAAAGCTTTAGGAAATATTAATATGTTGTTTTCCTTCAAAATATGCATTTCTTTTACTGTTTCTTTAGATTTGACCCAAAATATAAAAAAGTAGAAAAATTCTCAGCATTATACACCACGAACGACGCAGGCTGACACACATTTTATTATTAAAGAGATTGGGTACCCTGACGGTACTACCCTCACAATTGCAGGGGATTTAAGGAACTTAATGAAAAATTCAAATTAAGGCCTCAACCAGAATCTGAACATATTTAACACAAAGAAGAGGGGGAAAAAAAAAAAAAAAAACAAAAGCATTTCTGAAACGGGTCAACCTCATCCCTCATTGACGTTCTCTTCCCAAAAAACCATATGGTAGACTCCGGTTAAACTAATTTTTTTCCAAAAGGAAATGCTTTGAGTGTGGAATCCTACTTCCGAGTTACTGCATGCTATAGATTGTAAAAAGGGCAGGCATGAGACATTTTCCCCAATTTTTACGAGAAAAAGGAAAGCAGTAACAACAAGTTAAGATCTTTTGATTAAAGTGTAGTATGCTGTTCAAAACGCGATACTTAAAATGTAGTGTTTCAAAAAATTCTGATGAGCTGCCAAAGTCTCCCGAAGATTTCTTGGAATTCTAGTGGAGGAAAATTTTGAACAGGATAAAGCGAAAGCAGAGGACGAGGAATAAGAAGAAATAGTAGCCGTAAAAAAAAGAGGTCATCATCCTGCGCTGCATAGGATACAAACGCATGGCGACGGTGAAACTACCAAACCACGTATCTCGGTTTGCGACGTTGCAGACTTCCTGTCATACTTTATTTTTTAAATAGAAAACTACTCAACGTCAATTCGTGAAAACTTCCGCGATTTTTCCTCTTTGTGCGGAGAAAAATCTGTGAAAATTGTAAGGAATGATATTGATTTGATCTCCTTCAAAAAAATAAAATGTGAGTGGAGATTTTTAAACACCGCAAACGAGATACGTGGTCTGGTAGTTTCACCGTCGATGGTTACAAAAAATGAATAAAAATGGCTTTTATCTCGGTGACCTTTTTAGCAACGTTTGACACTGACATTCTGGGTTGAAACCATAAATTTCCAATTTTTGATGCAGAAAATGAGAGAAAAAAATGAAAGATATGTGCAGGTTGAATTTTAAAAGCGTTAATACATGTAGCTGTGTGTTAAAATTCTCCGAAAAAGGCAAAATGCAAAAGAACGAAAATCATTTTGCCCAGACCTTTTAAAATGATGTGTTCATTGAGACTTTAGTTGCCACGCGTTACATCTATCTTCTGTCATTTTTTTTCATCCCCCCCCCATTATTTTGGAAAAGACGACGCGACGGAGCTATAAATGAGAATACCAGAGATATAATGAATCAGTATTCGAAAGTTTCGAGTAGGGGAGGCCGTGTTTTCATAATGCGGCTAATATTGTTCTGTTTTTGTCTGGTAATATCCTTGCATTTTTAAGCGGTGAACTATCATTTACACAATTTTTGATCTGGAAGTAATCGTTCAGTATGAGAACACGAGAATTTATCGCGTGCGCATTCTCTTTGCTTGCATTATTTTGAATTGCATAATTTATAAAATAAAAAATAAATTTATGTACCATTCTAAAAAATGACTGCGATGATGCACGTTAGAATTAATGATGAGTTCTAGAGTAATGCCTATCGATAGACATATTAGTGAGGTCGATAAAGTGTTTCTCCAATCCTGAAATAATTCTCTGAACGCGAAGAATGTACTATTTGTGATAAAGTAAGGGTCAAAGTTAGCAGCAGGGTGTATTTTGCATTCATTTTAATAGGATGACAAAAATTGTAGCATTCCAGATCTGCTCAAGTGTTGCACTTGAGACATTCATCTTCGAGTCAACTCCACTAAAATCTTCATAAAATGTGACAAAGAGATGAAAAACCAAATCATTCTAGGCCCAGATTTTGAAGATATTTTTTGTCTTCTTATTACAGCTGTAAAATTCCAACGCTTCATCTTGAGCTTTAATTTTTTTCCAGTTCCTCTTAACTCAAAGCGGTTGCTTCCATTGTAAAGGAATACGACCATCAGATGGTAGATCTTCAATCTCAACGGATTTAAAGACTTCTTCCAACTCTGGTCAGGTATAGAAACCACGATTTTAGAAAGAAGTAGGCGAAATTATTATTTTTCTAGTTCATAAAAGAAATCGAAAGGATTAATAACTCTTAAAAGTTGATTGAAGTAGCTGTGAAAGAATAGATATTACCTCCGATTTTTACAACGGAGGTTCTACGTTCGACAGGTACTACGTTCTTTCTTAGCACTGCAGTATTGTACATACGCATTGAATTTTTCTGGGGATTTACCCTCAATCATGAAAAGTATATTCACAAAATTTCAAGTTTCAGTGGTGCTTGGGTTCCTGTTAAAAAGATAAGGCACTAGAGAAAATTATGCAATGTCTGATGTAGTTAAATTGATTTTAGTAGAATCCGCGTCCAATCCATGGAGATTTGCACGCACATTTTTAATTGCTTCATCTGAAAGTGCTTAAAGAGCTGATTTCACAGTATTTTTATAATTATCTTCTGACGTAGGAAATGCTTTAAAATAGTTTTAAAAGTGAGAAAATGCACCGCCTAGTGACGTCATCTGGTGGTAAGTCCTATTTAATGATTTAAACACTTGTATTCTAGCAGAATCGGTTATTTTGTCATATCTCCACTAATAATTGCTCAATTTATGAATTAAGGGTATTTCCGTGTTCAGTTCATTTAGTAGATTCCACTTTAACACGAAATTCATCAAATTTCAGACCCTTGCAAATTCTCCATTAGAGGTTTTTTTCTTTTCTTTTCTCATTTTTTGTAGGTCAGATCAAATGTTGTAAATCTTCTTACAGGTGAAGAATGGAGATGGAATACGCACACTTACTTCATCTCTTAAAAAAAAGCCACCCTCATCCAATGAAGATAAATCCTCTTTTAAAAAAAATCCAACCTCATTCAATGCAGATACATCCTCTATGCCCTTAGCTGAGACAAGACCTGTGCCACAGGGAAGGAGCAAAATAGCCAAATTTGGCCAAACCGTGGCTAAAGCTGTTTCGTTCAAACGCACGAACAGCAATTCAAGCAGGTATGCCATATTTTGTGAAGTATGTGTTTACGTGTTTATGTGAGGTTCGTCACTTACAAAGCAGCCAATAAACCGTCCCAAACAATAAAAATCTTGGAAAATAACATTAATTTTGTATAAAACCTGGGTGGTAGTAGAGTGCCTTTATACTGAGAGTTAAGACAACACCCCCTCCTAGAGTCACAAACGGGAATAGAGATTACACAAATTGAACGTTTTTCGTAATCTTTGATCCGCTCATTCTCAAATTCCTTCCTTTGTTCCTTATCTCATTCCGTTTATTCCTTGTCGAACCCGTAATTCCTCGGTCCATTCCAGTTTATAATCTTTGCAATTGGTGAAAATGTAATCTTTATTCCAATTTGTGACACTGTGGAGGCCTAAAATACGGTAACCAATCAGAAATGGATTCACATTGTA